CATTGTTGCAACGGGTCCACCTGTATCCTTATTTAAACGACTTGTTTTTCCCCTTCCCCTCCACAAATTATACCGACATCAAATACAGTGAAAGCAGGGATTATTCTGTGGGGGAGAGACATACAAAGCAGAAACAAATGCATGAAAGAAAAAAACACATTTGAATACATATCTTAGGGTTCATTTTCCTAACATCACCTTATCTGACCTTTTCTGCTTGACTCATACATGTACTAGATATTGCAAATAAGGGAAACCATGGGACCTATGTATCTTTGGGCTTGGCTTACTTCACTTAATACAATATGTGGATTCTACATAGTCATGGAGGATATATATGTGTGTGTGTGTGTATGTGTGTGTGTGTGTTTTATATGTAATAAAATAGACCTCATATTATTGGTATCCAGAATAATTCTAATACTAACATGATATATACTGAACGTACATTTCTCTGTTCACATACATGTCGAATATTAAGCAGGATGAAGTCATCCACCCTATAAATTCTTTTTCCTGTATCACAAAGAGGGTAAAACCCAAACATATTAGCTAAAGTATGGTATATTCAGGTGATGATTCCAATGGTGTGACTCCTTTGAACAACTTACACTTTAAAAGGAAGCTACAGCTTGTAGCTTGTAGCTGGTGTGTGTGTGTGTGTGTGTGTGTGTGTGTGTGTGTGTGTGTGTGTGCAGGTCAAGAGGAGTGGAACAAATGGAGAGTGGACGGGTGGATGAATGCAGTCATAATATCTAATTTAGATATGTGAAAATGGTTGTTTAGAACAAACTGTCATTTAGGAGGATCAATAGGCATGAGCTCACAACCCAGTTCTAGCACTGCTGTTCTTTGTTGGCTACTGGACAGCTAAAGGATATGAACTTCTCTGTTCAAAATGACAGGGTTCTGTGTTATAAATCCCACTAGGGTCATGAGTCTATGAGTCTAAGAAAACCATACTATATTGAAGAATAGCAAGCGCTGAGCCATAAAAGTTGCAAACAAATTTGTTGTATTTCTCCCAGCTTGTGATCACTAAAATTGACATAAGTTTATAAATATACATTAAGAGCTTGATCATGTAAGTACTAGTGGCTTTATGGGCCTTTTCAATTCAGTAAAAGCTGCTATTCTTGCTGCTCCTATGTGTTCAGTAATTATGGACCCAGATGCCAAGCAAAATAGACTTGATTTTTGGCAGAGATATATGGTTTGCTGGCAGCCCATCCTGGCAGTTGTATTTGTTCTTTTCTGACGACTCTGGCTCTTTCTCTGTTAGAGAAGGCTAGATTACCAAAGTGAATCTTTGAGAAAGGTGTGAACATTGGCAAAGGAGTGATGACCAATTATTTGCTGTGAAATATAAAAGTAAACACTAATTGCCTCCTGGCTAACAAACACATGTTCAACACATGATATTATTTTGGGGAAAAGTGAGACTGTAATGATAAGGACTTTTGTGTGTGGGGTGCGGGGAGTTTTTCTCACTTGAGGATGGTGGCGCTCTACCACTTGAGCCACAATTCCGTTTCTGGTTTTTTTTCTGGTTAATGGCAGATTAAGAAGCCTGGGCTGGCTTTGAACCAAAATCTTTAGATCTCATCCTTCTGTATACATAGAATTATGAGGACTTTTAAAATTGGCTTAACTTAGAGATGAGTGACATTTTCCTAGTGAGATTTGGGGTTAAAGAGAACTCTATCACAGGGTTCTGAATCTTGTCACTCACTTGAGTATACAGTCTCTCCTCTCCCAAGGCACCGTCTTTCTCTGAGCTGTGTGCCTTGTTTTCTAAAATGGAGGATTTACTATTTACACAGCTGGTATTTTTGAGAATAAAACATTAAAAACAATTTAAGCCTAGCACCAGTGCCTCATGCCTGCAATCCTAACTACCAGAGATCTGAGAATCTCAGTTCAATGCTAGCCTGGGCAGTAAAATCTGGGAGACTCATATCTCCAATTAACCAGTAAAAGAGCAAAAGAGCTAAGGGACAGCACCCAGGCCCTGAGTTCAAGCCCTCGTACCAGCACACACAAAAATATGGTCAAAGTACACAGTAAAAATGACCCGTGAACTATGAATTTGAAATATGAAATTAAATTTGGTTTATTTTAAAAATACTGTTGAGTATTTAGTGAGTCTTTATCCTATTCATACACATAAATATGCACATAATAAATTTCATGAGTTTGGTAATTCATGTTAAAAGTAATATTTAGCTGGGCGCTGGTGGCTCATGCCTGTAATCCTAGCTACTCAGGAGGCTAAGATCTGAGAATCACAGTTCAAAGCCTTCCCAAGCAGGAAAGTCTCTGTGAGACTCTTATCTCCAATTAACCACCAGAAAACTGGAAATGGTGCTATGGCTCAAAGTGGTAGAGTGCTGGCCTTGAGTAAAAGAGCTCAGGGACAATGCCCAGGCCCTGAGTTTAAGCTCCATGACCAATAGGAAACACAAAACAAAAAGAGTACATTTAATTTCTCATTTTAATATTTTTTGATGGTACTAAGATCTGGACTCAGAGCCATGTGCTCACTAAGCAGACATTCCCCTACTGAGCGATACTTCCAGCCCCCGCTATGCAATTGTTATCTTGTGATAGGATCTCACTTTTCCTGCTTGGGCCTGTGTCTGGACCTTAATCCACCTATTTTAGGTTCACGTAGCTAGGATGACAGGCTCAT